AGTCGTAACATAAATTACACTTTTATGTAGAGTTATAATTTACCACGGAGTAAATATAATAGTATTTGATAATCACCAAACTCGGTTTCACTCGGACAAACTATGTCGTCATAATTTGTCCAACTCGATTAGGTCGGTTACGTTAGCACTGGACACTGAGGACGCTGGCAGCAAAACTATTATCCACGAAGGCGAAGACATAATGATTCCCCCACCTACTGCGCTTGACTTTTTATAAGAGTCGAATCGCACCGTGGCTGATGCAACATTCTCGCCTCTTGCAAGTGAAAGTTGCATCAGCCAGAGTGGTTCGAGTAGCTGATGCAAGAGGCGAGAACGTTGCATCAGCCAGAGTGGTTCGAGTAGCTGATGCAAGAGGCGAGAAAGTTGCATCATTGTTATCCACCACTAAAGTGCCTCTACCTCGATAACGCCCACTCGAGTCTGTCTGAGTGCTAAATTTTCTCAAGTGTACTTGAGTCCTAACTGTGTAGTCATAATTTGTAGTCGCAATATAAAACTACGCTTTCATACAAGTGGGAAAATTATCAATGCGAGTCGGGGAACGTATAAATAGTGTCGAGGAAGTGTGATCGATCATTTCAAAACAAGAACTCGTCAAGTATGGACGCTCCAACCCTCAAATCACAATCGATCAGAGCGATGAACACCTTGGATATGGTATATGAGGCTCTCAGTTTCAAATTTACAGGAATACGAGCAGAGCTTTTGAACAAGTTTGCCCGACTCCTTTTTCCTGACAAGTTATTCCACCATCTTAAACTCAGCTCAATAGACACTTCCGATCCCGTCGGGTGTTACGGCTTAGTTGAGATAACGGAAAGATTTTGCCTTCTCCTAGAACGTGTCGCAGACGAGCACGAAATAGTTTACTTCCTAAAGCAGGGGTACAAGAAAGTAGACGAAGAGGACTGGAAGATAGGTAGACTTTTAAGTGCAATTCGCGTGGTATTAAACACAAGAGAGAGAGGAGAGCGGGTCTAGCAGTTGGATTTCTTATAAATAGTATGCATTCTCTTCTCAGTATCGCAAGAAAGAAATCATGATTGATAAAATAATTCTCATCACCATCATCATTGCTGTTGTTGTTGG